CAGAAATCATAGGAAAACCAGAGGCCCTCAAGGGTTCTTGTTGTTTTCTTTTTTTTTTGGGGCTGTTAATCATTTGTTGCTCGGTTATAGATATCGGATCCCATTAGCTAACATCCGCGGATGTTTCAATTTGCACAAAGCCAAATCCAAATCCAAATCCCAATCTAAATCCATAATGGGAGGCAGGCACGCGTTTCCGCCGAGGGTCAAGCACATAATGTGTCCATTAACTCGCAGAACAAGACGCCGTAGAAAAACTGAAGTGGGGATCTGGCCAAGTTGATGACGCCTTCAATGGCGCCGCTAAAAAGTGCGGAAGCTTCCCAAAAAGCTGGCGGGAAAATGCCAACCATTAGGCCGAAATGTTCTATACTAATAAATCTTACATTAATACAATATTTACTCACTTGGCCATACAACTTGCTTATTATCATATAAATTTCAGTTAGAATATCTTATTAAATAAAGCTACTAAGCACAATATTCCTAACAACGTAACAGCTAGTATGAGATCACAATATATGCCTTCTATTTAGTACGTTTATAATTACCATTTGAATGGGCTTTAAGTCCATTTGGAGTACTACCCATTGTGTTAGGTTCCACCACAATAACTATGGCAGAATTAAAATAATAATAGATATAAATAATAGCTAAATTCATTTAAGTTCATCTATTATTTTTTATTTTATTATTTGTATTCACTGGAATCTGTTCAGTGCCTTCTGAACTTAACCTAGCGTAATTAACGAGAAAGAAATTTTATGGATACATAGTAGCCTTAAATAAAATGAATTATTGACAATTGTCTACTCCGCGTTGGTTTCCAGTTAACCAACTTAGGATTGGCCATACAAATACTTATTAACGGCTGGCCAAATTAAGTTGAAATTAAAATAGGGTGAGGTCTAAAGAAGCGCTCTGGGAAAATGTACGATCTGCGCATTTCGTCGGCCCAACCTCGTTCCACATTCGATTGGGTCATCGCTCACGGCTCGTTAATTTGGCCAGCCAAATGGGAAATTGATACAGGAAATGCAGCCTAGTGTTAACTGATAACTCTGCCCAAAATTCGTGCGTTGTCCGCAGCTGTGCGGCTTTGATTAATTGTGGGTCAACACAGATGCAGATGTTTGTTCGCATATGTACATATATATCTCGCTGATCTACATATGCTTCATATGGTATGTGTGTAACCTCTGGAGCGTTAAATTGCCGCGGTAGCCCGCTTAACCGCCTACCCATCGAGCCCAGCTACCCATCGCACCAAACCGCCAACCCACCATCGATACATTCACCCATCTACACAGACAAAAATTCAGCTGAGTAAGGTTAGTTACAAATAAACTTATTTTCAACTTGAATAAGTAATATGTAGTTATATGTATTCAACCTATTTTTTTTTTTTATTATTACTTATTATAACTCCATCGAAACTAAATTATACTCCAGTTTTACAGAACATTTATCCACTTATTTTTGAACTTAAAAAATGAGCTTCAAAATATTTTGTTTTAATTACAATTTCCATTTTTTTTATATTCTAAGCTTATTGTTTAAATAACCCTTTATAGAAAACCCAATTTTATTTATAAATTTTTTTTTCTAAGTGCAACTGTGGGATCCACAGCCCCTTGATCCATCAACGTAACCCAAGTAGCACAAATTGGCCCGCGGCTTTGCAGCTTATCGCGTTTTGTATTTGGATTTTCTCTTTGTTGTTTCTGTTGGGAAAAAGCGGCCCAGCGGTTTCATTTCCATTTTCATTTCCCCCGCACTCACTAGCCATTTCCATTATGAGAATTGATGGCAAGGTCAAGCGTTTGGATCAGCGTTCGGAAATTTGTCTCTGGCAAAGGCGCATGCGCAGCTTCGGGCTTGACTTGATCTCTACAGTGAATACACCCTAACTTGCATTGAGATCTGACTATTAAAAATAAGTACTAGGCATTAATAAAAGGTTTCTGATATATGTTTAGTTAGTTTATAATAAAATAGGGAAGGGTGAGAATATTTCCTCAAGTTCCGACTTATTGAAGATAGACTGTACTTCTTCGCCTCCCTGTTTTTGACTTTTACTCGCTTCGCTCATAAATTGTTGGTAAACAAATTGTTGTTGCTGGAGGCCTAGCAAAGATCAAGAGTTTTACAAAAGGGGAAAAAGTGGGAAGGAGGAGGATGATGCTTGATTAATTCGATAAACTGAACGATAAATATCGCTTGCCGGTTAATGGAAGCAATCCAATTAATTTCTAACTCTTTGCGATATGGGCCTTAAACATTGAATACGGAAGAGAGATTAGAAGATTGGAGTGTGCTTCTCTTAATCGAAGTCAATTAATCGATGGTAACCTGTTCACTATGATTTCAGTCTTTAGTTTTATACGAGGGACCATAATATTATGTTGGCATCAAAAATTAAAACCTATTGCCATTTATTTACTTAGTTGTAATTGTAACTTTTTTGAAATCCAAATTAAAATAGGCTAAGATCCTGGTTATTTTGAAATATAAATTTCATGATATTTAGTTTATGATTTCAAAGGAGAAGGAGGAGAAAATCTGGAGAACAGGTCAAGGTTGGTATATGTATGTATGTCGTTCCCGAATATCTCTCTTTCCATTCGTGTTTTTTTCTGGCACATTTATGGGAACCGACATGGCGACAATAAAAACGTTAACACGCCTATGCCCCAAAAAAGAGTGTGAGGCAGGAGATATGGAGATATAGAGGGGATGGCCATATTTAAACATAATTTCGTTTTTTATTATCCTTTCATGACAAAGACGAAGCCGCACCATAAACAAATACACGCATATGTATATCCATACAGATGTACATATATCCATATATCCAGAAGAAGCTGAAGAAGAGGCGAAGAAGGCTTGGAGACAATGACGTTTAATAGCGGTCGCTAAGTGGAAGGCAACTGAAGAAGAAGGGTCCGCACAGAAAGAAAAAAGTATATGATACGTATATCAGTTTAATCTATTAAGATATCATTTTGGTTGGACAAATCAATTTTATATATTATTGTTTAATATTATTTACATAACCAAATGATATCATGTGTATACATATTTAGAGATGATTTCTTTCAGTGTAGAAAAAGGAGGAGGCAAAGAAGAAGAGAATGAGAATGAAAAAGGAGAAGGAAGGACGTGGAGAAGGGGGAAAGGTGAGCAATAGCCGGTGAAGAGGGAAATGCCGGCATAGGTAAACAAAACAACTCGGCAGGCAGGTAAATTACAAACAGCAACAGATGAAGAGGAAGAAATGCCACAGGACACTGAGAGAAAAATGTGCTCTATTATCATTAACTGTTCAACTTTTCGGGAAATTTAAATCATTACATTTTCTAAAGTATCGAAAGTATGTTAACCAGGATTGCGTAATATAATCGATTTATTTATGTATTAATTACTCTTAAGGTTTTTCTTTCCGTGCATTTGCATGCAAAAGAGACAGGAGAATAGGAGTCTTCTCCTTCATAATTTAGTGTTGTTTTTGTCTGGCTTTAGATTTGAATTTGAAAGAATTGTGCGAGAGGGAGAGGGCAGAGGAGTGAGTGAGAGGGAGATGCCGGCGGCTGACATGAACGGCCACACACCGCGAAATACGGCAGGTGGGAAAGGGATGGAGAGAGGCGTCGTGCCCCAAAAAAAAGGGGAGCGAGTAGTGAAGCAGAGGGGCGATAAGGAGTGACCCAGGATTTTCAAATTCCAGCTCATAAATTGACATCATTTTTGTCGCCATTCATTTAAGTACAGTGGGTCTTGGCTAAGACAAAAAAATAATAGATTATCTATCAAAATAATTTGAAATTTAAACAAAAACGAAAAAACAATTCCAATGTCAAAAACTAGACGTTTAAGTATAAGTCCATAAAATATTATACATTTAAATGGTAAAATTCATAATTAGCCAATGATTACGTTATATTCGATTACGAAGTATTACCTTATTTGATAAGATAAAGCATGATCGATGACAAGGGGCGTATTATCGCCGTGTTATCACTGTAATGACCTACAAAAAAGGGGTGTTCTCTTTCCCTGTAAATGCGGGCTGTAAGTCGTATAAATTTTAATTATGTCGCCATAAACTAAAATGAAAACGACACACCCCTCCGCCCCCTAAAAAAAAAAACAGCAACAAAAACAAAGAAAAAAAACAATTCTGCGTGCGTTGCGTTTAATGTTTTTATTTTCTGGTTTTTCGCCGTCTTTGTCAGTTTTTCGCTAGCAGTACTTAATTTTTTTTATTTTTTTTGGTGCTTTGCTTTTTGGTGGTGTGCGCATAAAATTTGCATAAATTACATGCGTCGACACTGACAAGTAAATTCACTTTGAAGGCAGGCTACCCCCCCAGACAAAACCCCCCCTCTACCACACCACTGTTATTGCTTTATTTTTGTCACATTCAGCAGTTAGTCGAGTGCTGTTTTAGGCCATTATGTTAATGAGTTTTAATTGAAGAGTCCGCAATATGAGCATTTTATTTATGGTTGGTTTTTGTTGTTTTAATTTTTTTTTTTCAAAAATTTTCATTAAATTTTGGCTTTATGTGGGCTTCTGCAGGGGGTGGGAAATGGATGGGGTGGCTGGGTTTGGCGAGAATTTTATGTGATCAGCAACATGTTGTCTGGGTTTTAAATTTCCATATTGAATGGAGGATAAGTTATGTTGATTTTTCGTTGCTAAATGAAATGGATTATGTGGGTGGAAATCACATTTCATTTTCAGGCCTTAACTGGCAATTGTAAGGGACTAGTTTTATTAACCCCAAAGGGTCTAAGCACTCCAGGGGCTCATAAATATGTTAGTTATAAAATATACAAGACTTTTAAAAGATTTACTTGCATATTATTAGTTTCTAATCATTGAAGTTCTAGCAAAAGATTTGAAAAATATGAAATTATACATATGTAGGTCTGCAATAATAAGTTTTCTTTGAATTTTTGCTGACTAAATACCAGGCTCTATTAAAAATTCGCAAGTTTGGAATGTTCATAATTATCGTATTCGCATTGCTTTAAGATATAAGGTAAAATTAAAAATAAGAACCGGAAGAACTCGTTGGAACAGCAATGTTACTGCTGAAAGTAGTTGGCGAACGCCCTTCGCAGTTTGCCGAATACGCTCAGTCCGCCGGTCGAATTCCTGCCCCCCGGAGGAGGAACAGATGCGTCGGGATCCTGGTCGAGGCGACCCAAGTGCCAGCGGAGCTGCATCCGTCCGGCCACCAGGCGCTTGGCCATGAGGACGCCCCGCTGCAGGTGCTCCGCGGAGGTGAACCGCAGCTCCAGGCCCTTCCTCCGCTGGCGATACACGGACACCGAGCAGAAGCGCGAAAAGATTCTAAGCAGCGGTTCCTCGGCGCCGGGTGCGAAATGGTGCAGGCTCAGCCACATGTTGCTCCGCAGATGCTCCGTGGAGGATCCACTCATCCTGGCCTGCTCCACATCCGTTTCCGGCCCCTCACTTTCGCTCCCACCGTCACTTCCGCTCTGTGAACTTTCCTCTGACATGCTTTTGTGTTTCTGATTGCCAATACTAAATTTTGTGGCCGATGGGTTTTTCCAAGTAAGCTTAGTTATTTTCCCAAATCATGTTTCTTTTTTTTTGTTTGAAAAATTCTCCGAAATTAGAGCATTGAACAAAGCTATTCAAAATAATCTTTATTATTTTTAAAAAAATATGTATTTCCTGGAAATCCGCAACATTATTGTGTATAATATTTTTAGCTACCATAGATAAGAAACTGAAAAAAATTATGTCTTCATGTTCACAACAAGAGAATGGTAAGTTAAATTAAAATTGCAAGATAACAAAAAATTGGGCTTTAAGTTTTGCACAATTTGTGTTTACTTTTGCAAACAATATTAATGCAATACTATGAAATACATACATAGCAACTGGATATTAAATTATTTTGCAGACCCATAAACTTTGGATAAACGTGATTTTATCAACGAATATTTTTTTGTCTTATCTAAAATGCATAAAAAACCCCAAAAATGCTATCGAAGAGAGATGGGGATAAAAAGATAGAGAAAGGTAGAGGGTTTGTGATAGTTGGCAGCTGTTCAAACAGAAACCGCAACTTCAAGAAATATTCGCTTGTTATTCAGATATTTTTCAAGATAGCCTGCCACAACACCAAAACCACGTAACTTTAATGCTTTTTTTTACCAGTAAAACTAATATTATTTATTTAAAAATATGGTAAACTCTTGAATAATCCTAAAAAGATAAAGCAAATAAAGTATCTTTCGTTAGAGAAGGGCTAGGGTAACATCTGCCGAATGGATATAGAACATAGAAAATGGAATAGCATCCCAGATACTTTCTGCTCCCCCTTTAAAATTGTAAGTGGGTCAACCATTTGGGGGCCATGCGGCATCATTTGCTTCCTGATAGCCACTATCAGTGGGTGAAAGGCAAACAAATAATTTCAGTGGATGCGGGGTATTAATAATTGTTATGTCCATCGCGATTGAACTCTAATCCGTATCGCCTCATTTTATGGATGGCATGCTGAAGTGTACTTATTACAATGCCTTTGCAGTTGTTTATTTTTGGGGCCTCTTCGTTTGTTGTTGCTGCGATCATTCGAAATTCATCGCATCCGGAGGAGGTAATCAATTTTGAATTCGTTTCGATTTGGTTTTGCTTTGGTTGCCAGTTGTTTTTCAAAAGCCTCCTCTGTTGCCGCTCCTCAGAAAGTAGCCCACCACTTGGGAAACCATCAAACAACAGATCTGATTCAGAAAGTTTTAAGGCTTTTGTTAAATAATACTGAGAACATTGGCTTGGACTTTTCTTATTTACTAACAATGTATGCAAAATAAAGATCATTTTTAATCTTTTTTTTTTTTTATTTTATAATACTAACTCATAAATTTGTATGTGTCGTTGAACTCAAAAAACTGTTCTTCATAACTCTAAGATTTATAATCTTAAAATTTAAACAGTACTTTTTATTTAAATCTATTAAAACCAATTTTCACAGTATAATCAAAGAACTTCTATTGAGAATCTCTCTTCCATTTGGAACTTCTCTAAGTCTTGTACAAAAAATTGTCATTCATAGCTTATCTCAACAGATTTTATTCAGAACTTAGCAATAATAATTTAAGTGTGGGTTGGCCTTAACGTGAACTGCGATAATCTTTGAGTCTGGAATCAAAGCAAATTTTTATAAATTCGAAAGATCTGAAAATCAATGGAAATTCCGACCGCCCCATAAACATTTGCAAGTTCATTAGGACCGCTGACTTTTATGGGTGACTGTGATCGCTCCTAGCTTTATCTGGAAATCACCCACACGGATACTGAAATACTGGAATTCTCCAGGGCTGGTAAACAAATGCTTTATTCGCGCCCTCCGATATTCAGATATCGGTTAGTTTTGCACGTTTCCGTATATATATTTCTGTTGACTCTGCGAATTGGGGACGCAAAAGAACCCAAAAAAACATAAAAAACTCCAACTGGCAACAGCTAACACTCAACAGTGAAAAAAAAATCTGATGAAAAGAAGAATTCAAAGGGGAGAATAATGTGGGAGTTCTTCAGATCTAACCAAAAAAATTTGTTTCATTTTTGGTTAACAAGTTTTTAGACACCGTTTTAAGGTGTTGTGTTGTTTAAAATACTTGATTTCATTGATTTTATTTTGAAATCTGTATCTATAATTTCTAACATTTTTCAAAAGCTAACTGGAATATGTATTTTAAGAAATCTCAAGCGTTAATAAATATTTTAAAAACAAATATAAATTGTGGGAGACTATAAAATATAAGAAGGTTAAATTATTTTTTAAACGTGCTAAAAAAAAAGGGCTTTGCAAGCGTGGAATCTGATCTCTTTGCATGCTCAATTAACATTGTGAATTCTTGAGCGGCCGAGCTTCCAGTGAATTTGAGTGCTTTTGGTTTGGCACGGTGGTGCAAAATTGCTTGGTGGTGCAGTATTAACTTGGTGGCTCAGTGGTGCGGTGGTGCAGCGGTGGGTGCTGGGCAAATTTATCGCTCTGCCAGAGCTGTCAGCCTGATGAGCGTCGACATGGCAGGCCAACAACAATAAATGGCGAACAAAGCGCAGTGGCTGCTAACCCAGTGCACCACCCCCCCCCCCTTCCCCTCCAGCCACCCCCTCAACCATCACCCCATCTAAAACCACTCAAAAGCAACAACTACAACTGCTGTCCTGTCCAAGCGAATGCTCGTTAAATGTGCTCAAATTTGAAATTCAAATGCGTTTGGCTGTTGCTGCCGTTGTTAACATTTTGCTGAAGTTAGACACTGAGAAAAACGCACGAATTTCAGTTTTTGGTTACAACTAAACAATGTAAAATATAAAATTGTGTTCATCAACGTTTCTGTTTTCTATTCATCGTGATTTTTGATTTTTCAATTTTGAACAATAAATTAAATAATTATATGTTTTTAATTTATTGCTTTTAAAACCATAAATCAGATAAATATAATATTATATTCGCTACCAAATGGCTCGATAATTTTCGTGGATTTTCTTTCGGTGCTAATGTGCATGATGTTGCTGCTGCAGTTGCAATTTCTGTTGCATTTGCAGCAGTTGCTGTTGTGTGGCTGCCTCATCTGCCAGTTGTCAGCGGAAGTGTTGATGAATTTATTTGTCAAAATCGCATTAAGCGGCTGACTTAATGAAACCACCACCGTTGCGATTGCCACTAAAATCAGCACCACCCGCACTCCTCAAATATGTGTGGTACAGTATAGTCTATGGTAAACGACATGTCCATGTCCCTGTCAGCATTTTCTTTTGTGCGTATTTCTGTGGCCCTGATTGACATTTAAATGCAAACTGTCAGTGGGGTCCGGTATTTATTTTCTTTTTGTTTCTCATTCACCGCATTGTTATTGAACTCACAATGAGACATCTCAACGGTTGTGCCTTAATTAATCACAGCTGCAGCTAATGGGTTAAGCAGTACATACCTGAAAGAAGAGGGGAAAATGCTCAATTAATATTTCGAATAGTAAATATTGTTATTAATAAATAGTTAACAACTTAAAGGGAATCGCAGCAGGGAATCGCATATGCAAATATAAATATCGGGGTTCAAGGCACCCTTTCTTAACCCCCATTTTAGATATTTATTTTGGTGTTGCTGGCAGACGCAGCAGCGACTAATTTAAATTCAAATTTAAATTGTTTGCCATCGCTTTTTTATTGACAACGACAAGCTGCAGCAGCCAAAGAAGAAAGAAAGCCAAGCCAAGCTCCAGAAAGTGCTGAATACTTAGCGCTTTTTTAGCTTAAATTACTAGATATATTTTGTAACCCATTTTTCTACTTTTCAGATAAAATAATAAAAACTAAAAAAATTGGCTTTTTATTTATTGTGTATTTTAAATAATTAAACCCTGACACTCAATTATCTGTTGATATAATAAAGTGTTGCTTTTCTTTAAAAGCTGAATAAACAATCATTAAAACTGATGCTAATATAATTACTTTTTTTATGAATACCACTGATATGAAAGGGTTACTAATGATAAATAGTTGCTGCTCCATAAAACAGCTTTACAAATAATGCTCTTTGTAATTGTATATATATATATATACCTGTACAGAAACTGACTACTTTTTGTAAAAGCCCTTACTTATAGCATGGAATGTGACAATATCTTAAGATAATACCATTTGAAGGGCTCGAAGGTCTGCCAATATCTTAGCCTGGATAAGATAACGGCAGGAAAGTGGAATTGGTAAAAAAAAAACCAGTTAAATAGAATTGTAGAGACAAATTTTGTGGCAACACTGATCGTTGGATCGCGGATCGAAGTTGCATGCTGCAGATGCACGCCCGGCGATTTGCCAGTTTCGGTTTTTCTCCTCCATTGGGAGGAAGAATAATGCTGCCAGCCTTTTGAGCTTTGCACCCACGCTTCTGGTGCGGCTACCCACGCAATCGATAACAGCGAATAAATATTATATATTTATAGTACACACAAAGCCATACGCCCACTGGAAATGCGATTGGGCGCGGGAACTGTCAATTAGGAGCGGATAAAAACCCTTTAAACATTGCGATATATCTATGGAGGCATCTGTAAGTTCCATCATTCAAAATTTAGTGATTTGCTTATCAAAAAATATTCTTAATTGCGGGGAGGAACTTTGTATAATTTGATTTCACATGGAATTTGTTTTCGAAATAGTTGAGGTTTTAAAGATGTAGCCCTTAAAATCAGTTACTTGGTCTTTCATTTAAAAAAATTTAAAATATACATATTAAATTGTCTTTATCTGTATTTTTTATTTAGTTTACATGAAAGTGAATAACTATGAAGAATACATTAAAGCATATTGATATCCATTTAATATTAGAATATGGTATTTTAAGTTTCTTATTTATTTGTAGGCTATTAATATATTAAATCTATAATGAAATATTTATATAATTAAACCCCTTTTGTTTCTCATAGGTAAGTCCACCATTTCTGAGGCTGGAGGGGACTTGGCCATGGTCCACCTGGATCAAAGACCATCCCAAACAGCGATTCCTATGGACACACATGCCTTTCCTCCATCATTCCCACCACGTAATCCCCGTTGCTCCTTGTGCCAGAGGAATCGTCATGCATTGCCATTTTTGGTATTTTCAGCCAATTAGCGGCGCGAAGGCTTCAAATGTTAAGTAAAAGCGAAACGGGCTAACGAAACGTGGCCAAGGCAGGCTCCTTGGCCAACAGCCCAGCGGAGCCAACTGGTCGAGAGCAACTTCCATTTTTAATGGTGCTGCCACAGGCGGCGGCAAAGGGGGTTTCGGAGGGGGTCCGCGAAGGAGATGGAGTTGGAGATGGCGATGGCAGGAGCCTGGCCAGAAGATGCTTAGCTGAATTTGCTCCATCGAGATGGCACACAAAGCCGTGACACGATCCCCGAAAAATATTTATATTATTATAATTTTTGGGGTGTCTTCGGATTATTAAAAACAATTATCCTAACCAATTCAATATTCTCTCGGAAATCTTTAAGAACTTAAAAACAATTATTATTAAAAGGGAAGTTTCCTTGCCAATCTAGAAATCTCTAGAAACCTTAAAACAAATATTTATTCTCAATTGTCATTTGCTAAAGCAATAAACGTTAAAATTCATATTTTATTAGGTAAATTCTTAAAGAAATAACAACGCTTATTTAAATGAAACAAACCCATTTTCATACATGTACCACATTTAAGCTTTTATTGAAAAATAACCTTGTCGAAGCCTTATTAGATTTATTAAGTTTCAAGTTTGATATATTTAACATCAAAATAACTCAAATAATAATAAATGACTTTAAGCCAAAATCAAACTATAGTGATGTAGCCAGTTATAGCAAGAAAAAGTAATTCAAAATGATAAGGCAAAAATAAAATGTTGATAAGGTAAAAATAACATTTTTTATTTAGATATGTCACAGAGAAGAGAAGATCCCTTAGACGCGATAAAAATATTATACTGATGACCAATTTCTATGATGTTATTTCCCCTTATGATGGTGAATCAGTCGACAACTAATTAAAAAATCATTTTCCATTCACAATATTAGGATTCCATGAATGGAATGTTCTATTTGCCAGTTATGAAATTTGGCGGAAAATTACTCACGCATGCGACTGACTCATTTGTGATGTCCTAATCCCCGTCATAATGGAGGTAAACATAAACACCCGATAAGATACGGAAAATGGAGCATAGAGCAAATTGCTATAAGGTTTGTTTTTTATTTTTTTAATATATTGCTTGTCTTAATATTAAATTGATAAATCGCATCACGCGATCATCGCTGAGCTCGTTAGTGGATTCCAATCAAATGAAATTTATGCGGCGGCCTTAGAGATCCTCCTTTTACACAATACTATTTATATGTGACTCCCTTCGGTTCCTGTATCGCCCTGTCTCTGTCCCACCGCCCCAAATAAGGTCACGCCCGTTTGCAGGACTTTTAATGAAGCCTTAAATGTCATTGATGAAATAACTGCGCAAGCGATCGATCCATTGCGATCCGATTCGATTCGATTCGACTCGATTCGCAGCGATTCGATTGTCGCCGGCTGCTAATTAAAGCTGACCATCTAAGGTTCGAAAAAGTCACAATCCCAATCCCGGGCCCCCTTCTCCGCCCCTCGGGTAATTGGCCAGATTTTCCTTCGGGCGACAGCGAAAGTGATGACAGCTCAGCCTCTGGGGACACGGTGAAAAAAGTTGCCATCGAAAATGGATTTAAGTTGGTATCCCTAAGTTTTTACAATCTATAGATTTAATTTCAGTTAGCTTATATCTGTTTATAAGCCCATGAAAATAGCTATAGACCTTATGTGCCTAAATCTATATTTCCTATTATTACGTTCAAAATCTTTTCTAGTAATTTGATAATCATTTTTTGTACACTTTTTAGAAAATTGTTTTTGATATGTTTACATAACATAACTACGTATAGTATATACATTTACTTATATTTTATTTTTTTGCGCTAAAACTATTTCGGAATAGTTTTTTTGCAATTTTTTGCAGTGCACCTTTTGCGGGCGTAGTTGAAGTTGCATTTTGAGTCTTAGGTTTCGAGTGGTTTTTGTTTTCCATCGATCTTGGGGGTGGCAGTTGAATGGCTCGCAGTTGGCTAATTGGCTCATTGGCCTGTGGCTAATGGATGTTGACGCTTCCGTCTGTGTCAAACCTCCCCCTCCCCCCCCTGGATTTTCCCATTCCATCTTTTGATTTTCCCCTCGATTGGGCGCAAACAAAAGGGGAATTAAACA